CTTGAGCACAAACATATTCAAGTGATGAGATACCGTCATCCTTTGGTCCTTCATCTTCCATTTCATCATCACCACCTCCTTCTTCCATTTCTTCTTCATCTTCTCCTCCCTTCTTTCCAGCACCAGTTGCTTTACCAACTTTATCAGCAATAATAATTTTCTTTGTTTGAACTTGAGTATTACCTCTTTCACCCATCAAGGTTTTCATTGTTGTATAAAAGAATTTACCTGTCATCATCATTATCAAATTAAAATCATGAAATTATTCAAATCATCATCATCAAACAACAATAACATACCACCAACTTTCAGCACAACCATCTCTTCCTGTTGCATTTTCTGGAGTGTTTCCAATTTATCACTTGTCTCATCACCACTACCAGCAACAATAAGAACACTTTGATCCTTTTGCTCGACCAATTTCTTGATCATTTCCTCAGTTTGCTTCTGGAGGGACAACCTATGCAATGCATCGGAAATTTCATCAATCAACTTTTCATTCTGATCATTTTCAAACACTTCCGATGATGCGAGTGATGATCCATCAAAATTTGATGACGTTTTTCTCTTCTTTACTGAGTGATCAGCAGCAGTAGTCGATGATGCAGACATTTTTTTTGACTGTTTTTCTCCAGAAAGCTGGAAATTCAGCATTTTACAACAAATAATCAAAAAATTGAATGTTACAAGAATTACACTACATGCCTCAAATATATTAGTGAAACCAAACCTGTTGCCTTCTCAGAGTGTTCCAAAGGTTCGCTTCATTATGGTATGATTTGTTTTTTGAACAGATCAAAGTTGCAACTTTGAAATGGAAGTTTCAATAAATTTTCTCTAAATATAATGTCAAAGTCTGTTTTAGTTGATTAATTCATGTGAAATCGGGTGTGGTATAGTGGTAGCATTCCAGACTGTCACTCTGGCGACCCGGGTTCAATTCCCGGCACTCGAGTCATAATTTTTGACTGTTTCTGGAATATTTGAGTTTTGCTTTTTTCATAATAGAGGTAATAGTATGTAATCTACCTATTCAAAGTTTTATCTCTTATAACCACTGAGAAAATAAATAAAGATTCGCCACCCTCTTTC